GGGGGTAGAGGGGTGGCTCCACGGCAGCCGGGCGCAGCCTCTGGGTGCAGCCAGACGAGGTGGGAGTTCTATTGTTTCCCCGGCTCGGCTCGGCCAGCTCAGCTCGTGAAAGGAAACGTTATTCCGCTAACTTGACATTGCAACGCACCTGCCTGCTGCCGCAACACAGCTAGCATGCGTGCGTGTGCGCGCGAGCGTGTGTATGCGCGCTCTTTTGCCAGCAAGTTACTCGCCTGAGTGTCTTCTTAAAAGCAGATATTAATCAACTGTATAAGACAGGTTGGTCCACAGACCCCTCCTTCCTGTATGTTTGCTTCTACTGTAGCGCATGCATGCGTGCGTGCCGGCTTGCCTACTGGCGTTCACCATAGCGCCGTATGGCACCGTGCGAGTATGCAAACCGGCCCGCAATGAATTCGGTAAAGTATAAGTAAATAAAGGAAGGGGTCTGTGGAGTGTGGACCACCCAGTAGTTATGTAATAATAGTCCATGTTATATGGTATCATGGTATATGTGTTATATGGTAATTCTCCAGTGGAAATCCAAGTGTGTGAATGTTGCACACTTGTTGCTGTGTGAACGCCATCACAAACCAACATGAACGCGACATTCTAAAACTTGCGCGAACTTGCGTATGTAGTAAATGTTGCCGTAGTAACACTTGTCCCGCTGACCCTAGGCCGCAGCCGGCGCTCTCTCGCGAGCAACAACAACAAGAGAGGCGCCAGCGTATCGAGCAGGAGGAGCTTGCCAAGGTATGTCACCATGCAACGGGTCGAGGCGGGTGAGCCCGTGGCGAGGACTTGAGGAGTTGCACTGAAAGAGTTTTTCGTCTCTTACAGCAGCAGTTGTACGCCGAGGACCTGGGCCCGGCCGAGGAGGTGGAGAGCGACCGCCAGCAGCGCGTGTACCGCGGGCAGCCCTCCAGCCTAGGACAGGTGGCGCGCGACCGCGACGGGCTGCGGCACCAGCCCAACACCATCCAGGTAGCACGCCAGGGTGGGGTGAGCCTTGCGGCGGGCGCAGCGAGCGCGGCCCCGGACCGGTGGGCAGCCCAACTCACACGTCTCTCTGCCCCACAGGCGCCCAGCAACAGCCGCGACAAGGCGTCCGTCGTCTCCTACGCCACCCAGCAGCCGCCGCCGTACAGGTACAGGTACCGGGCGGGGTGACCTCCGGCCGCAACACCTAGCGTGTGTCACTGCGAGGAGCAAAGTTGGGAGCAATACCGGCTCCTCTCCTAAAAAGACGTGCAGAAACACTTTTGATATTTCCGGTGACGTTTTGCGAGCAAATTTCTAGATGGGACACTTCGAAACGAAAGCCGTTGCTTGGTTTATTGAAGTAATGCAGTTAGTAAGATAGCGCTGGTGATAAACCGAACACATATGCCGGGCTGAATCTTGCTGTAGTGTTGATACAAGTAGTAACAGTTTTATGGCGAAACAATATAAGTTTTTTATTCGTCGGTAGTGTTTTTTTTTCATTCTGTGCCATAGGTTACATTTCCTAGCCTTTGTATCTGGCTCCGGCATTACTGTTCTACCGAGTTCTATGGTATGGTAGTGCTAAGATACTTTAATAATATTCGGAAATCTTAAAACTATCACAGTAACCGAAAAAGAAGCTACCGTTCAGTTGACGCGATATCAGTGAGAGAAGGTACTTTTGGTGATTTGAAAAACTAGCAAAAGATTCTGAAAGAGAAAAGAGTCGTAATTGACTTGTTTCGTTTGAAAGGGCAACGTAGAAAAGAAGGCATGAATTAACAATGTGTGTGTCCCAGCGGTGACGCCCTAGACCTGACGCTCGGACCGCCTGACCACCACAACCTGTTGACGTACAAGCGGCGGAAGAAGCGGCAGGTCCGCAGGTAACGACCCTTTCGACCAAAACATGTTGACCTGCACCTGCAACATGTTGACCTGTACCTACAACATGTTGACCTGCACCCTCAACATGTTGACCTGTACCTACAACATGTTAACCTGCACGCCCCTCCCCGCCCGGCCCGCCGCACCGCCTCGCGCGCTTTGGTGGCCGGGACTGTCCCCTTGACCTGGGGCTGCTCTGTCTCTGCTGCCCTCCTCCGATCTCGCTTTTGCCTGCTGCACGTCGCCCTTCACTTTGCGCTCAGGCCTTCAGCCCGCATCACATGCACCTACCTAAACACTTTAGCCGTAACCAGTAACCAGTAGTTTTTTCCCTCCCAATTTTTCAATTTCTAGTAGCTAGTTGTGTTTATACACTCTAAACTGTAAACTGCTTATAACTAACATTTTAACAACAGCGTTTGCAATCTCTGCGGCTTGCCTATCGATGTCAAATACATTTGTTAATTTTTTGCATTCGATATCTTTCAAATAATCTACTTTTGCTACGTCATAACTTTTCATTAATCCTGCTAAAGTCTTAACGGGCTCGAGTGTGATTGTCCTGCCGTGACTAATGCCTGCCTGGGTTTGTTTCTTTCCCTCCCCTTCCCTCCCGCCGCCCCCAGACATGCGACTAGACGACACGTGTACCCGCACCCCCTTGCCGCCCCGCCGCCCCCCGACGACACGCCGCCCCACTACAGGCTGCTGTTCGACCCGAGCGCCGCCTCCACCGCGCCGCCCCCCGCACACCTGGCGGCCGGTCCAGCCGCCCTCAATCTCAGCGCCTTCCTGAGTCCACGTCCGTCGCCGGGCTTCGGCCCCTCGCGCCCGCACGCCAAGGCCTCGGCCTTCTCACACCCCATCAACGAGGATCTTCGGCCACCTCCACTACGGCCTGCTGACGGCAAACCGGACGTACACCCCATGTCGGTACCGTACCGCACCCTCCCTGCTGACGGTGACGGCGCCGGCGGCTTCGTCCCCATCCCGAACCCTGCCGCGGCCCCGCGTGCGCCACCCGTCGCCGTGTCGCTCACCTCGACCGCCAACCCCGCCCACCTGCACTTCCAGCGTCTCGAGAGCCAGACCTCGCGCCCGGCCACCGGCACGCAGATCACTTCGCCGTCGTCGCACGTGCACGAAGTGTCCACGGCCAAGTTGGAAGCGGAGACCAGCCAGTCCTACATCAACGAGCGCGGCGAACGGCTGCACGGAAACTACCGGGACCCCGCCGCTCCCGGGGCCACCGTCAACGGCAAGACGCCGCTGCCGCCGATTCCGTGGGTGGACGAGCGGGCCACCGCCTCGCCCGTGGTCAGTACCGGGACAAGCGACCACGACGAGGATGAGGACGACGACGGTGACGAAGACGACGACGAGGACGAAGACGATGGGAAGAAAAACAAGCTAACCACCAAGGAGTCCACCAGGAATACGGTTCCATCCGGGGACCAGGATGACGACGACGCTGGCTTTAACGAGCCCGACGATGAAGAGTTCGGACCTGATAGTGACAAGCTTAGCAGGCGACCAAACAAGAACAAGAAAGACGAGCATGAGTCGCACATCATGATCTCTGACTTTAAGCTCACCACCGACCCCTCACCCGATCACCATCACGAGGAGGAGGAGACCGTCACGGGTGCGCCCGAGGCGACGCTCACGCGGCCTAGCGCGCACCACCACGACGAGGATGACGATGGTGATGAGGAGCAGCACCAGAACCACCAAGAAGACGATGATCATGATGATTTCTTCGACCCAGACTTGGACGGGAAACCGATGAAGCACAAGAAGGCGCCCGCGCAAAGTCAGTCGCAGCCCGTGACGGCGGGCCCCCCTCGGCCCACCAGGCCGCCAGCGCCCCCGAGCCCACCAGAGAAAGGCTTCACGCCCGCGCAGCCGGGGGCGTTGGGGCTGGACGACGACGATGACGACGAGGCCAAGCAGGGCGAGTACAGGCCGCCAGAGAGCTTCTTCTCTGACGACTTTGGCAAGGAGTTCGACAACGAAGACGGCACCTTCGGGAGCCTTGACTTCGACTACGACAAGTTCATCAAAGAGATGGACAAGGGCGTTGACGACAAGGTGCAGGGGCTAGCTAGCAGCGCTGACAAGGCGGGCGCCGCACCCGCCCCCGCACAGCGCCCCAGGGACGCCGATGAGGCGTTCTTCGGCGACGACCCCGATGACCGGAAGCCCTCGGCGCCGGCACAGTACCCGCGCACCGGGTACACCTCCGTGCCCTTCTCGTGGGACGCGGACGGGCGAAAGCATGCCCCTGGCACCAAGGGCAAGGAGTCAGGGGTGTACTACGACAAGTATCGCGCAAGCAAGTCACCCTTCGGCTCCGAAGCGCACCGGGACATGCGCTACGAGAAGCAGGGTGCGAGCACCGCCAAGACAACCCCTAAGGGTTTCGTCAACAACCCCTTCGCCGACCCCAACTTCAACTTCGAAAGGTACGTGGACACGATCGCCGCCACCACAAGCAGATCGACGGTAACAGCGATGTCGACGACAACTACCGCCGCACCAGTACGGCCGCCTCGCCCGCACCAGGACGGCGAAGAGGAGGACGAGGGGGACGACGACGATGAAGACGAGGAGGAAGAGGAAGAGAACGCAAACCACAAGCCGACAAGGAAGTCGGTCCTCGAGAATAACACGGTGAAGAGCTCTCGGCACAAGCCGACCAAGGAGCCATCGGCGGAGAGGACGTCCCTGGCGAAGAACCACCGGTACGAAGCGAGTAAGCTGCGGCCGGCGGAGAGCGCGCCCGGCCCTGGTCCCGCCGCCCACGAGTACGAGGACATGGTGTCAGAGGAGGACAAGCGCTCAGCGCCGAAGTACCCTAGGTCTACAGAGCGCAGCGTGCGCAGTACCACGCCTCAGTACTCGCAGCCGTTCTCGCACACCACTGCCTACAGCGCCTACCCGCGGCGCGGGCCGTACCTGGGCGAGTTCAGCTTCCAGCAGGCCTCCCCTAACAACATGTTTCTCCCACGGCCCAGAGCGTCCGCGGCCTCCTCCTCTGCACCCCGCGAGCGCTTCGCCGAGCGCGTCGCCCCGTCGGCCGCCGTCACCAGGCCGCCCGGCATGGCCGTAGAGTCATCGAGCTTCTCAACCTACGGCCCCACTCCGCTGCAGAGGCTCCGTCAAGAGGCCCAGAGACCCAGGACGGTGTCGAGCAACTCCGTCACGTCCAGCAAGCCGCGCACCAAGACCAAGAACCGACAGCAGGACGACGACATGAAGGAGTACTACGACGTGCTTGGGTACACAGACGAGTACCGCGTTGAGAACGTGCACCTGGCGCCGACCGACGGCTACGATGATCTCAACCCGCTCAAGCACATATACCCCGACATCAAGGCGCACATCGGGCTGGCCGACCACGACCACGAGGAGGACGAAGGCCCTCGCGTCAAGGCCAACCAGTACCAAGTGTTCGAGGCCATCGCCGAGAGCAGGCCCAACAGGACTACGCTGCCCCCGCCGCCCACCACCCCCGCCCC